TGTTTATCTTCCTTTTGTTAAGTTTCATGAGTTCCCTGTAAATGTTGGAAATTAAACCCTTATCGGTGGTATCATTGGCAAATATGTCCTCCCATGTAGTGGGTCTCTTGTTGTTTTGTTGATGGTTTCCTTCTGAAGGCGGCACGCGGGATGATTGGGTGGTGGGGACCATGAGTCAGCACTCACCTGGCTCACCTTCTCTCAGCAGGTGCCTTAGGACCTCCCGATGGGGTGGCTTGGCTCTGGGCTCACGTTCCCTGTGAGCTGCCTGATCCTGGTGTGGGCGGCAGGCTCTGGTAAGTCACCACCTCTCATTCATTCATTCATTCATTCATTCATTCAACATGTATGGACTGTCTACTTGCCAGGCTCAATCAGTGAACAAAACAAAGATCCCTGGCCTTAGAGATTTCGCTGTAGTGGGAGGGGACAGCCAATGACAGATGGCTCTAATTATAAGCTAATTCTAGATTGTCAGAAGGTGGTGGGAAAAGACGATAGAGGGCAGAGCAGGGAGGGCTGGGACAGTGGGGTCAAGTGGAGGATTGCAATTTAAAACACGTGCTCAGGGAGGTCCTCCTGAGTGACAGGCGCTCAAGCGAAGACTTGAAGGAGGGGGAGCGTGCAGATACCTGCGGGTGGGCCTCAGTGGAGGCTGGAGGGACCAGAGAGGCTGGGGTGGGGCGGGAGGCGGGTGGCCAAGTCAGGAAGGACCTGGCAGGGTTTGAGCACAGGAGCGACATGACCTGTGACACTGAAAGGGACCCCTTTGTCTGTAAGCACGAGGGTGGAGGCCGGGAGGCCAGGGGGAGGCCGGGAGGCGTGGCCCAGCGGAGGAGATGGAGGGTACTGGCTTCTGGACCCTTCTGGGAGAGAGATTGGAAGTGAGATTGGAATGCGGGGCAGGGGCAGGGTCGGGTGACGCTGAGAGCTCTGACCTGAGCAGGCAGGAAGGGCGCGGTGTCATTTCTGAGATGCAGAGGGATCTGGGCTTCGGGGGGCGGGGAGTCAGATGCGGAGAGTCTGAGATGTTGACTAGACACCCCCGACTCTCCTTGACACGGGAAGTCCTCTATCCAGAGAACCAGGCAGGTGGAGGGCCGCGGGGATGGGCCGGAGCGGCCACTGGAGCACGGTGCCTGCCGGCCAGGTGTGGGTGGTCTAGAGCTGGGTGATGGCGCTGGACGGTCGGCAAACCCGATGTGCACAGGAACTCCCAGAAGTCAGCGGGGACTCAAGCTCAGGCCGTGGGATTTTTTTCAAGACGCATCTCTTGGGACAGGTGTTGCCTGGCTCTCACTCCGGGCTTTTGAAATCTGCCGGGTTCAAAGCCAGCTCTGCCACTGACCAGCTGGACGAAGCACCCCGCCCTCTCATCCCGCCCTTTGATATTGGCCAAACCCAGCAAGGAGCCAGAGGCCAAGGGCCCCTGGGTGACAGACCGTGGGGATCAGCCTCCTGAGCTCAGCCGGGTGGAGGGGGTGGGGCGGGAGCGGCGCAGGGACAACTGCCTCCCGCAGGCGCTGCAGGGCAGGTGCTGCTGGCTGGTCGCCCTCCTCACACCGCCCCGTGTTTCCCTGTAATTTGGCCAAAGGCAAGTAGGAG